TTCCACTTGCTTGGAGTACTGATCTTCCACTTTTACTTTCTAGTCTATATGCACCTTGCCAGGGTTAGATGTGTTTCCTTGAAGACAGCATATACTTTGGCCTGTATTTCTTATCCATTCAGCCAGCTATGTCTTCTTGAGTGGAGTAGTTTATAGGCATTCACATTATGAGAGACTGATAGTAAGGTAGATTACTGTTCATTCTGTTTGGGTTGGATGTTTTGCTTCTGTGATTCTGTCTTGAGCATTGTACTATCTGGCCTTTATATTTCCTTTGGGTTTTGGGTTGTTTTTATATTCGTGAGTTTTTATTTTATTTTTTTATTTATCTTAACACCTGCTGTGTGATATTCGTGAGTTTTTATTATGGTTTTCCGTGGATAACACTGTTTTGAGTCTCTTGTCAGGGCTGGTCTTGTCTTGTGAATTCTCCTGAGCCTTTGCTTGTCTGAGAATGTCTGTTATTTCTCCTTCCATATATGAAGCTTAGTCTTTGCAGGGAAAAAGATTCTAGGGTGGGCAATTGTTTGTTTCAGAAGAGTCAGAATGGGGCCCCCAGTCTCTCCTTGCTTGGTAAAGTCTCATTAGAGAAATCTGGTGTTATTCGATTGGGCTTTCCCTTCGTATGATTACTTGCTTCTTTTGTCTTCAGCTCTTAGAAGGGCCTCTTTAGTTGATATTTTGGTCAGTCTGATGACTGTATGTCGTGACGTCTTCCTGTTTGCATTGAATTCCAGGGTTCCTCTGAGCTTCTTGAACTTGTAATATCGAGATTTTGAGCCAAGGCCTGGGAATTTTCCTCTATTATATATTCAAATAGCTTGTCCACCTTGGGTGTTGTCCCTCTTCCCCTTCTGGAACCTATGCACCCTCACATTAGGTTTCTTCACATAATCCCACAGCTCTTGAGGCTTTGCTCTTTTTCTCTTGTTTCTCTGCTCTATCTCTGTGATGGTTTTATTAGTTGGAGGGTGTTATCTTCAATCTCCTGAGATTCCTTTCTTCTGTTTGATCTACCTGTTCTTGAGACTTTCCACTGTAGTTTTGTAGTTCCTGAATTGATTCTTCATTCCAGGAGTTTCGGTTAATACCTTTCTCATTGTGTCCATTTCTTTTTCAGATCTGGAGGCTTTTTGTGGTTTCTTGGGTGTTGGTTATTTGAGTTTGTTGTTGCAGCTTGGTGAGTGTTCTTATGATCCACATAGGAAATTCCTCTTCTGTCATTTTTGGTTGCCTGATTTGGGTTTGGTGGTCCGTTTCTAGGGGGCTTGGTGCTCCTCTTTGGGGGTGGGTTTTTCCGTTTGGTTCTTCCATATTCCCTGAGTTCTTTTCCTGATTTTTCCCATGTTGATCAGTTGTTGTTTCTTTCCTTTAGGTTATTGTTGGGTATTCACACACCTTGTTTTAGTTTTCTGAGGAATTAGGTGGTGTCTGTGGTGAAGATTGGACACTCTGGTATATTAGATCAGTGGGTGCCGTGAAAGGCTGTTGCAGATGCCATCCCCTGTAGAGGTGGCGTTTGCTTTGGAGGAACAGGCTAGTGCTGTTGATTTTGTGTCTGTTATCAGCTTCTTGTGTTCTGGGCGGTAGCTGGGTTGGGTAAGCTGCCTCAAGGCAGTTTGCAAGGGTCAAAGTTCTGTTCTCCTGCTTCCAGCTTTCCAGGAAAAGCTGTCAGCGAGCGGGGCTGGAATGGTCCTGCATCAGCAAGAAAGTCTGCTTGGTGGGGATGGGGCCGTCTGAGACCCGCAGTTGGAGCAGCGCTCGCCCTCTTTTCAACCCTCCCCCAACTCCGCTGCTACTCCTGGGCGCTATGCCATGCAGGCCAAGCCACATTGCCCACTAGGCTCCCGGATTGTGATGCGCGGCGGGGAGGTTCC